GTCGTCAGAACGCTTCGGCTCTGCCGGGGCCGCCTTTGAGGGGTGGGAAAGCAACTTGTGAAATTATAGGGTATAGCGATGCCCCGCTCGCTCTGGCGGGGCCTGTCTGGAGCTCCGGCGGGGCCGTCCCAGGAGAGGAGGGAGGAGCACGAAAGCTGAGGCGGGAGGGTAGGGAGAGGAGAGAGGAGGGAATGGAGGCAAGGGCAGGGGGCGGGAGGAAAGGAGGGACGGAGGGGGGCGGGCCGCTAACTCTCTGTGGCCCAGCTTGGGCCTGTCCTGGGGTTTTCTTGGGCCGTTTGGGGCTCCTCCTGGACAATTGTCTGGTTCCATGGAGCCGTTCTGGGCCAGGGGCTCTTGTGGGTGCCTCTTCGGCGGTCTCGGGGCGGTCTTGGGGGCGTCTGTGGCCGACTTCGAGCATTGGAAGCTCGAGAACGCGAGAAAGCGTAGTTCCCCCACGCGCGTTTCGCACGCGCTCAAACTCTACGCGCCATGGGGCCAAGCGTATAGCGTTCCAGAGGGGCCGTGTCCGGATAATCGGGTACTTGGCTTGGAGGCCCACGCATCAGTGTCTGAAGCTGTACTGAAGCTTGGTATTCGCGGCAATCCTGGGCCATGCTTGGGCAAGATTGCAACTCTCTCCAGGGCCACTTGGGCCTCCGAGGCCGTTCTGGAACCACATGTTCGCAATAAATGGAAAGTCCAGAAAAGAAAAAAATAACCGTTGGGATGCATGTTGGTTTTGACTGATGCGGCCCGCCCAGAAGTCTTGCGTGGGCACTCGGGCGGCATCTCTGGCCACTCTTGGGAACGTCGTGGGGCCCGCGGGAAACTTTCTGCACAACTTCGGGAGCTCTCTGGGGGAGCCCGGAGGAAGCTCCGGGGAGGCCCCCGTCAAATTGGCACCATTTGCCAAATATGGATGGCCTGTACAGTCAAAAACCCTAATAAGGACGCGCGGTAAGGGCGCAAGACCCTTGGAAGCCGAAGTTGGGATTTCTGGGGCGGCGGACGACGAAAACCTCAAGGACGCAAGAGCAAGGAGGAGCAAGGACGAAAGGGTACCCTGAGCAAAACCGCGCGTCCCTATCAGGGTTTTTGACTGTACCCGTGATTCCACCCACATCCTTGTCCTTTGCTACCCCCCTGTGCCCCCACAAGACTAAGTTTGGACATTTGCGAGCGCTTGCTGCTTTCCTCAGCAGAGAGAGGGAGAGAGAAGCAAAGAGACAGAGAGAGAGAGGAAGTACATGTCCTGATGTGGGCCCTGGCAATCCCCCCAGTTTCTTTTTCTCTGCACCCCCCTTGCCACCAGAAAACTATGTCTGAAGATGTGCCAGCGCTTCCCGCTTCAAGACGCAGAGGAATAACAGATTGCACGGATGTGGGGCCCGTTAAACCCTCCTTCCTTCTCTTTTGCCTCCCGTAAGCTTCCCTGGTTTAGAATATGCGCTACATTGCCTGCTTCTCAGATTGAAAATGTTGCACAGATGCCGGGGCACGCCAATCCCCCATTATCCTTCGCGTTTGCCCCCTCTTCGCCTGGGGAACACCATCAAAAAAAACGCGGACGCTTCATATCCCAAATCATACCCCAAAAAACATAAGCCGAAACAACCATGTATGGTTGTAAGCCTCTGTGGCCCGTCCTTCCTCCCCGTTTGCTCTCCTTTTGGCCTCGGAGCATCACGTTCTACATCCCCAGAAAGGTTTCCTGGTTCACGGCGCAGAAAAAATTGGTGATCGGCACGCTGCGTGCAATGCAAACATCAACGTTTACCCTCGTCCGCCGAGGATCGTGCTGGGCCGACCTGCCGTCGGCGCTTGCGAAATGGAGGCGACGCGCGCGCTTCCCGCGGTCCGCGTGCCGCCGTGGCGCCATACCATCGACAGGGTTCCCGCAACTCGTCATGCGACCCCACAAAGCGTCGATTCACGAGATAATTGAAGGGGCCCGGGAACACACGAAAAAATACACACAAACAACCGGCTTCCCCAGAGGTTCCCACATTTTCTTGATCTTCGTCTTCCCCCCCACTTCCAATCTTTCCCCATATTCTCTGGGGAGTCGACGATTAACTGTGTCGATGTGTTTTTCCCTCTTTAATACAGTCGGGGCGTTGACCTAAGGAACCCTGAATAAGGAACAAGGCCCCTTTTTTTCCATAAGTTAAACTTCGATTTCCTATCGAAAACATAAGGAAAACCTGAGGCAACCTGTGAAACACTTAAGGAACGCGGAGCCCCTCCCCAACGAAAAGGGTTCCTTCTTCAGGGCCCCGACTGTAATGCTATAGAGAGGGCTTCACGGTATTTCGACCGCGCGCGCCTGGATCCCCGGGACGGGCGAGGCACCGCCCGGCACAGCACAGGGCACCCTCGCGCCGACCGTCCCGCCGTGGCGAAGAGGAGGGCGCCAGGGGCGCCACCAGACAGGCTGCAAAAGGAGGAGGTTCGTGAGCCCACGAGAGTTGTCGGCGCGAAGAGAGAGAGAGAGAGAGAGAACAAAAAAAAAAAAAAAAAAAACTGGGGGTGGGGGGAGGGGGGAGGGCTTCTTAGAAGGAGGCTGTGTCTTAGAAGCCGCCGGACCGACATCTGCGGACGGGGCCCGCGCCTTCTGAGAAGCGGGGGCGCTTCCAAGAAGCCCCCCCCTCCCCCTACACCCTCTCTGCGCGCGCGGCCGAAAAAGGACGCACAGTGGGAACGCTCGTGGGTCGATTAAAAGAACCATTGTGAAAGCACCCGTGCAGCGACGGGTGTTGCCCGGAGTGCGAGTACTGGGAAGGGGCGAGTCCTCCCACCGGCGGGTCCACTGCGAGAACACTCGCAGCTTGACGGGAAGGTCGACCGCGAGAGCACCCCTGCATCCACGGGAGGGTCTGGGAGAGCGAGCGCTAGAAAACCGACGTTATCCACCAGCGGATGTACTGTGCAATCACTGGTGGTCCACAAATGTCGGGCCGGGCGACAGGGGGGGATAGCAAAGGGGGGGGGGGAGAATCAGCTCACATAGCTGACTTTCCCGGCGCCTCCCGGCGCCGGGAGGCGCCCATGTATCGAGGAATGGGCCCAGCGGCGAGGCCGAAACCAGCTGCATGCAACAGATTTCGTAACCCCTCCTTTCCCAATCCCCCCCTTTCGTCCCGCCCGAAAATGGAAGTACTGTGGACCCACTCGGGTGTCAAAGTTGTGCAGCGCGCGCAGGCCGTCGCACGCAGCTGCGCTTCTCGCGCGTTGTGCCCCCGTCGCGCCCGCCGGCGCCCGACAGCGCCCCCAGGCCCGCGGGTGGAACTGCGCTCCAAAAGCTACGCTTCTGCAGCAAGCACATGCGCAAAGGAACAAACAGGATTGCTCCTCCTCCTCCTCCTCCTCCTCCTCCTCCTCCTCCTCCTCTTCCTCCTCCTCCTCCTCCTCCTCCTCCTCCTCCTCCTCCTCCTTTGTATCCTCCTTTGTATCCACCATGCGCTTCGATTTCTCGGGTTTTCCGCTGCGCAAGCTCCACACACCCGCGCGCTGGTTTCACGAGGCGCGTTTGTGGCGTTGGTGTTGGCCCAGGGATCGGGCCGATGTGACTCCTGTAGCTGTCACACAGGCTTCTCCCTTGGAGGCACAATAGGGCACGAATTGGGGCACGAACTGGCCTGGGCGCCCCGGGCAATGACTTGTGACGAATCATCTGCGGCACTGGCGGGATGACCGCCTACGGCAGCCCGCCCAACAGCCCGGGCGTTGGACCACGCTCCCTTCCGACCACTGCCACATGCACACGAACCGTCGGCACTGCGACCATCAGCGGCCGCAGCGCTGTGCCATGTCAGCGTGTCGCCGCGGCAAGCACAACCCTGTTCACCAGCGGCAGCCGACAAGCACGGGCGGCCGGGAGAACGACGCATGGGCGCGAAGTTGCCCGCACGAAATTGCCCGCACGAAATGGTCCCAGAGTTGCCACCCAGCGTGGCCGCACGGAAAAAAATCCAATTGATTTCCCAGACTCGTTTGCGAGCGCCCGGCCGCGCCTGCGAGCGCCCCCACGCGCACGAACGATGCCGCGTTCGGGCAGCAATCGCTGCGCATTTACACGGCAGTTACGCTGCTCACTGCCAGGGTCTACAAAACAGGTTTACAGTGGATTTCGTGTACGCCCCCTTTTCGTTACCAGGGGTTGAACACCGATAGTTGGTGGGGGACACCTTAGGCGGAAGCCACTTCCTTGTCGCGCGTGTTGCTTGTGGGCCAGGGGAGGCGACAAAGGCGACCAGAGGCCATCGCGTGAAAACGCCGTGCTTGCATCACGTGGCCCTTGCAGTCAAAGGCTGGGCTCGCTGAGCTCGAACGCTTCTTCTCCTGGCCCCCTCATCTGGCCATCGCTCGGACGTCCATTCCCTGTGTTTGTTTCGGTGTCGTGCGTGTTTTTTTTTCCCGCACGATGATCCAGGATGCTCCTTAAGAATCCCCGCCGAGAGAAAGTGCACACGTCCGAGCGATACCAAGCCATGCAGATCTCCCTCCTCCCTCTCCTTCACATCCGTTTCCTCTCCCTCCACCCGCCTGCCAAGAGGCCCCCCCCTCCTCGGACAGGGAAACGGGAACGGCACAGGCAGAAACGGTCCAGGGTCCGCGCAGACTCCCGGGGTCGGCGCTGAAACCCTCTCGAGCGCGCCAGGGGCGGCGCGGGGGGGCCAGAGGGGTCCAGCGTCAACCCAAGATGTCCGCACGAACCTCCGAAAGTTGCTGCGCATGCGAAAAGATTCATTACGGTAGATGCTAATGTTCTGATTGCTCGCACTACGATTAGCAAACATGTCCTTAGTATTACGATTCCTCCTATTGTTATCATTATTGCTAGCATTATCCTTCTTATCCGATTGTATCCTTCATATCCGATTCCCTGCTATCCTCCCTCCTCATCCACCTTGTCCAAGTCCTCCGCCGCCCACTCTCCTGGCTTCCCTTGGGCAATCACAAGCAGCCCAAGCCCTGCCCCTCCCTCCCCCCCTGAACGCCGGGTCTGCACTGCAGTCGTCCAGCTTGCCGTCCGTGTCCTCCGGGCCACTCGTTTGTTTGCGGCCGCTCCGTCGCTGGAGAGAAAATCGGGTCGGACGAAGGAGGGCTTGCAAGGGGGGGAGGGTAGCGCTAGGTCGGGCATGTCAATGTTGGGCGAGAAATAACAAATTTCCAAAAGATAGTCCAACATGGTGATATATATATATATATATACATACATACATATATATATATATACATACATTTATTTTTAAAAAAACAAAAAATCCCCGAACTGTTTTTCATAATTTCTGAACACTCCTCCTGTAGGCGGACAGGCCCGACTTGAGGTCAGCGAAGCAGCTCGCGTGGCTGGGTCTGCCGGCGCCCCCCGGCGCCAGCCCGCCGGGGGCGGCGCCCGGCAGCGGGGCCGACGCCGGCCGCACGCAGCAGACCTCGCAGGGCCCCTCTCCCGGTCACGCCCTTCGTTGACGAGGAGAACAGGGGCACACAAGTACTCCAGATTTCGTAATAAAAGGGAGGGGGTCTGGACCCTCCAAGACAAGCCATTTCAGACCTCCCCCGTGGGAGAGCCCTTCAAAACATCGTCCCCAGACCCCCCAGGCCCTCCAAGATAGCCTGGAAGAGACCCCCCCCCCGAAATGAGACCCCCCTCCCTTTATTACGAAAACTGGAGTGAATGCACACAAATCACAGGATGATTCCCCATCTGTTCCCCTGTTTTCTGGGTTCCTGCCTTGTCCCCCACTTCCCGCGTTCTCCCGTACTCTCTGGGGGATGGACGACTAATCGTGTCTGTGTGTTTTCTCCCCTCCTGACTTCGTTGAGACTGCAGCAAATACCTACGCTTCGTGCGGCGCCGGCGCGCGCAAAGGTTTTTGACACCGCGTCGATCGTTCAACCTTGAATCGACCGCGGCCCCGATGGTTCAAGGGGGGGGGGGAAAAAAAAAAGAGCCGATGCCCCGACCACAGAAAAAGAGACCTTACAGCGTCGCCCCACAAAACCCCCAACCGATCCGGCGACGTTTGCACGGAAGGAGCAGGCCGCAGCGACGACCGCAAAGCGCGGGGCCTTGGGGATGAAACGCAGGCGGATGGTTTCTCAGAAGGTTTGCCACCCTTTTTCAAGTTTGGCGTTGCCCGACGGAAGAGAAGAGAGACTGCCGGAAACCCAAAGCATGCAACGCAACCGGGCCCGGCCCGCACATGTGTTTCCAATCCTGGAGAAACTTCACCAATGCATTGGCGATGCGGCGCGATCCTCCGACCCGATCTAGGAGGCGTAGATCTATTAGAAATTATGACGGTGACGCCGAGACCTCGTGCTGCGCGTCCCCCCTGCGCGTCCCCCACGTCGGCGTCCCAGAGAGCGGCGGCGCACAGGGGGGCCACGGCTGGGGATGCGTCCTCGCCAGCGGCGCCCGGGGTGGCCGTGCCGCTGGCCTGGCGGCCCCCGCGGAGGGCAGGTCGGGGGGCACGCAAGGGGAGGAGACTAGGGCGAGGACGCCATCCTCTTTCTCCGCCGCCGACTCCTCCTCTTCCCCTCCTCCTCCTCCTCCTCCTCCTCC